ATCAGCTCACACATGCTGTCTCTACCTCTGCATTCATGCTTTTGTGCTTCACTGTCAATCTGATTAGCACCTAAACAACTCAAAGAGAAAAGGTGCAAGCTTACCTCTCAGGGTGATGGGATGTAAAACATTTTAAACTGGAGAACCAAAGTGTAAACTGGTGTTGCCATGGGGGGCTGCCTCAGGGCTGTTCATGGGAATTATTTTAAGGTTTAGTGTTTAATGTTTGCATTGTAGCGAAGTGGCTTTTTGTAGTTCTGACTAAATCAAGTTTATGTTTTTTACGAAGAGCATAAAATACTAATGTCTATATATTAAAGTGTAGGTGACTCTGCTCAATATTAGGTATAAGTTATTTGATGTTAAACAATATTTCCTAGGTTGTAAAAAATATATTTTACAGAAAGGTTTGATTTTAAGCTTCTACCTCTTTTACAAATCTGTTGTTTTATTTGTGTGGACAGTGATGTCATGTTCATTTAACGTTTCACTGAATACAAGATGGGCAGTCTGGATTTTTCTGTTTCTTTGGAGTAAAACGTAAATACAAACTTCTGACTCTGTTTACTGAACTGAAACTAAACCCAGATTGTGTGATTTAAGGTATGATGTCCAGAGCAGCATCTCCATCTGAATGTTGTTAATTTGTGCACAACACAAAGGATGAAACACTGAAAATTATTTTATAGATTTTGCGATTGAGAGAAAATAAATTAGCTGGGTTTAATGGCAACAAGTTTAACTAATAAATGTACTGATTTCAACACAGGCTTGTTAACAGAACAACCCAGTCCCACAACATACAAAGACAAACAACAGTAGTTTGACAATAGAAAATTAATAATTTGAATTGAGGCTACATGTAAAAGGTATGAACAAAAATATCTTACCTGTTGTAGATAGCTCTTTGATTGACCTCAGATGAGACAAATAAAGTTTAGTCTGACTGGACTGACGAGCTAAATGCTAATTCAAGCAGCATCAAGACCAAAGCAGATCTTGAACCAGGTCCCCTTTTTTATGTGTACATGGTTTTATTTAACTTTACACTGCTGTCAATTTCATATCTGTCCAAAACATAATATTCCTGTTGGAAGTGCTGCACCAGAAGCTACTTTCAGCTGCAGCCATTTCTGTTGTTACACTTCCATTTAGACAAGTGTGTATTGCAGCACTCCTCTTTGCTCTGCACCTTGTTTGAATCTGTTAGCTCATCAATCTAGTCAGAATCCATCCATTTTCCTTACCCACTTTTTTCTTTCCAGCAGGGGCTTTATCAGCCTGCAATCCCTTAAAACTTGCTGATCTAAAGTGTGCTTCGGTTTCAGCAGAAATGTTCTATTTGGGGTTTTTTTAGTCACAGAAAGCTCAAGTTTAAACCGGGGGATCAGTCCAACCTGCGGTGGGAACCACACTGGCAGGTCTGTATCCAGAAGACTTTACAGACGCATCATTTTATTTTTGTGCTCTGAGTGTTTGGACGGGAAAACAGCTCCATGTGGCGAGTGATTCTGCATCAGACGCGGAAGCTGCTGAACATCAGGGAACATCAGCTCCTCAGAGGACCGACGGAGCTGCGTGCAGCCACCTGTCCTACTTCACTTTATCTCTACTCCTCCTTAAGAACAGAAAGAAAGTACTCCAGCTGGTGTCGATCTGCAGTCACTGTGCGAGGCGGGGGCCCTGGACAGGTCATAAGTGCTTACACATCTAATGTACTGTAAAGTCTGGCCTGGACCAGCCAGCCTTTCTCAGCTCTGGTTTTGTTTGCTTTCAGCCTTGATGTGGGCGGGATCATCGTAGCAAGACCCCACAAATCTCAGCTCAGCGATAACTGCCCCTCGTCTTTTGTCCAGGGCACTGGTGCCATCTTTTGTGTTGACATTTTTTCTAAAGAAAAACAGCAGTTCTCTATATCACAAAACCGTCCAGAAGCAAGAAGCTGAAGGAAATGTTGGTAAGGAGCAGTCGCTCCGTGCACCCACACCCCTCGGCCAGTGAACCAACAAAGCCACCAGTCTGTTGATGTCAAACCTGCAGCGCCAGTCTGGCCCAAATTGAACCCCATGAAACAAAAACTGAGTTGGAACTGGGCCAGGCTGCCCAACACCAACACTCAAAACCTGGGGTGGAGCCCGGGTCAGGCCAGTCTAGGTCGGGCTGGGCTCTACAACGCATATGGGCCATTAGACACAAACGAGACAAAGAACCATCCACTCTCCCACCTAAGCACTATTTAAAGTTACCAGTCAGCCTAACATGCAATTTTTTTGATCTGTGTGAGAAAACCAGAGTACACGGAGAAAACTTAAGAGAACACACAAACTCCACACAGAGAGGCGAGAAGAACCTGTGACAGTGGTGCTTTGAGGCGACAGCACAAACCACTGCTCCACCCAGTCAGAATCAATATGAGTAAAAATAATCGACGCAACTCCATTAACTTCTGTTTAAAACTGAAGCCAAAATGTACATTTTTCACGGCACTGCCATGTTGTATTTTTGGAGCCAAAGAAAGGACTGACGGGCTGTGCCCTCAATACAAACATCTCGTCTCCAAAGCCTTCAGCTGATAACAGACTCAATCAGCTGAACATGAGACGTTCAAGTCTCAAATTAACTTAAACTAAACAACTTTATAAAATGCATATTCGAGCAACAGCAAGGCAAGAACTACATGAATCAAATAAAAACTGATATTTTATAAAAAATGATCTTAATTGTATTTAATTTTTTTGGTCAAATGTCCCATTGGTTTTCATGAAGGGATAAAAAGGTGTGCTGGAGTCAGCCACTAGAGGGAGCACTTCTTTTGGCTTCTGGTTTATCATGTCAATGGGCAGCGCTGAACTCGTATTTCTCCAAAAAGATACCTACAGCAGGTAAGATATTAACTGTTCATAACATTTTTAAAAAAGGAAAACACTCCTGAAAAGATCTGAACTACTGACTGAAGGTCCAGAAACTCCAAATAACATGATTCTCATTAAACAGAAGCACGGTTTATCTCTGGCTGCAACATGATGGTCTGATCATCCTGTGGTGGTTCTGCTGCTTGGAAGGTGTAGATGTTCATATAATCGGTTCATCCATCTCAACACTTGATCCATGTAGTATTTACTACAAACACCTACTAGAATGAAGGGTTGGTTGCTCTGCTCTCACTTGGTGATGCTCAGGGTCAGAATTCATGGTTTAGTTAAATTAATTAGACACGTTAATATTTAGGTTTAGATGTTGAAACCGGTCCAGGGGGCTTTCTGGGTGGAGTTTGCATGTTCTCTCCGTGCATGCGTGGGTTTTCTCTGGGTACTCCGGTTTCCTCCCACAGACCAAAAACATGCATGTTAGACTGATTGGTAACTCTAAATTGTCCCTAGGTGTGAGTGAGCGTGTGAATGGTTGTTTGTCTCGTTTGTCTCTATGTGGCCCTGCGATGGACTTGCGACCCGTCCAGGGTGTACCCCGCCCTTCGCACAGTGATTGCTGGACATGGGCACCGGCGACCCCCGTGACCCAAAATGGAATAAACAGGTAAAGATAACGGATGGATGGATGTTGAAACCATGATTAGGGGTACACTGTGCATGCATTTCTCCACATCAATTAGAAAACAGGCTTAATTCTCAGTTTGTAACTGAGAATTGTGACAATATGCTTAAAGAAGCGCACCTGCTACATATTTTCTGGCACGATTGAGCTTTTTCAAACGAGATGATTAATTTCCAGCTGTCACAAATTTTCAGTTTCTTAAGTCCTTTAGGTCAACAATCCATCCATCCATCCATTTTCTTTACCCGCTTATTCCATTTTGGGTCACGGGGGTCGCTGGTGCCCATGTCCAGCAATCACTGTGCGAGGGGCGGGGTACACCCTGGACAGGTCGCAAGTCCATCACAGGGCCACATAGAGACAAACGAGACAAACAACCATTCACTCTCTCACTCACACCTAGGGACAATTTTAGAGTTACCAATCAGCCTAACATGCATGTTTTTGATCTGTGGGAGGAAACCGGAGTACCCGGAGAAAACCCACGCATGCACGGAGAGAACATGCAAACTCCACCCAGAAAGGCCCCTGGACCGGGGTTTGAACCAGGGACCTGCTCGCTGAGAGGCAGCAGCTCTACCAGTTGCGCCACCGTGCTGCCCTAGGTCAACAATATGTCCATCAAATTATTTTAAATAAATTTCACTTTTAGAGGTGTTACTGTCTACTTTTTTATTGACCTATCTTTGAACTTGTGTGTCTGCAGCACACTTTATGCTTATGAACCCACACATACAAAACTCAAGGCAAGTAACACAACATTCTAGGAAGATGAGGACATAAAAGACAGAGAAACGTCTGAATAGCAACTTAAAGATCTGTACTCGTGGACTGGGTCATCAGTTTATTTTAGAAAAAGTTACAAAAATAAATATATTTAAAAACTGAGTTACGTGCACAGAGCAGTCTGTATAATCTAAGCCTGAGGGGACTTCAAAAAGCCATCGTTAACGTTATTGTGAATTAAAATTACACATTTCACTTTTTTTTTCTTTTGAGTTTTAATAAAGTAACACAAAAATGCTCGTCCTGCAGCTTTGGCTTGTCGTGGAGCTGCAGCGGCGCTGGAGGTGATGGTGCTCTTCATGATGCTGACTCACCAAAATATCGCCGACTTTCACACTTTCTCACGTCTGCTGATATATTTCTAAAGGCAGTAAATCTATGAAGCATGCACCATGCGTTCCCTGTGTCATGATGTTTCACACCTGACCTATATGAACCCCACCTTCCTCCAGATGTTCAATAAAAACCTGAATGCACCTGAAAGACCAAGCCCTGCAGACATGATCCATGTTTTAAAAACTTTCTATTATCAATAAAAGATTTGTTTGAGCTTGTGGAGAAACTTCCACACTGTTTCAGGTGTTTTTAAAGCTTTTAGTCCAAACTGGGCTGTGACACCAATTTACCATAGTCCCTTTAACTCCTGTTCAATAAAACCCCTCCCTGGTGACCAGACAGCACATCATCTCCCCTTCTGTCTTGTCTCTTCGTCTCTGCATGTTGTTCAGCAGTCAGTGGCAGCCACAGGCTTCGACCACCATGTTGCGGTACTTCTTCAGGATGACGTTGGAGCTGTCGTCGAAGTACAGCACCGAGATGGCGTCGAGCTGCGTGGGGGCGCAGCAGGGCTTGGGAACCGTTCCAGGGTTGATAAAGTGCACCTGACGTATGAAAGGAAGTAGAAACAAAAGAACTTCAGAGGATGCGAAGGCTGCAGTGAAAGTGGCATCAGGGACTGTTTGGGGACTTACCAGAGTCTGCACAATGGCGTGGTTGGTGGGGTTCATGTACGAGTTCAGAGGGAACGCGCACTCTCCCTCGCAGTAATATGCAGCATAGCCCTCTGGTGCAATTATCCAGTCCTGAACAAAGGAAACCCACGAGCACAGCTTCAGCCAAAGCCTCACTTCTGAACAAATATAGAGTCTGGTTACGTTGAAGCTGCGTACCTGCCACCCCAAATCTCTAAAGCTGACATACAGCTCATGTTTCTTACACCCCTCCTTAGAGAAACTGAGGTTAGCTGAAATGTGCAGACACAAAAGGTTATGGGTGAAAGTTCTTGCACACACAATGGCTCTGCAATGCTCAAAGGTTTGCGCACCTGTTGCAGTCTCTGCTGCCTTCGCTGCATCTTGAGCAGTCCTCTGTGGTTTGGAGCGGTTCGACTTGCGGGCCTTGTGGCCGTGAGCTGCTCGGGCACTGCGGAACCGCACCCCGCTGGCTTTGAAGAAGACGACGAGGAAGGTCTGCTTCTCCTTTGGCTCCCTGCCTGTCACCAGGCTGGCCAGCCGGGGGTTCATCCTCTGACCTGCAGAGGGAGGCAGAGCAAAATAAAACTTTAGCTTTGACAGCGGCAGAAACATAGATTCCTTGATGTATGACTTTTAATCAACTTAAGAGTCATAAAAGACTATTTTATTACTGACCACGGCTGTCCTCCACGATCAGGTGCAGACCGAGGTTCTGTTCAGGGCGGAGCAGCCAGAGGGCGCTTGTAGCAGTCAGGTCAAAAACCAGCCATCCTTCTTCTGAAGCCCACACCTCTCTCTGATCCAGCAGCAGCAGATCCACCTCACTGGAGGACAAAATGGTCAAAATTGCAATCAGAGTCATTTTCAGAAAACTGCATCTCTCTTTCCTCAAGTTTTCAGTCATAAAAAGTGACGCTGATGAAATGTTTCTTTGTGAAACTGGAACAAATGTTGCTCTGGGAAGTTTGGACAAAAAGCAAAGGAGTGAAGTATTCCATGTATCCTTTGGGCGAATGATTTAAGCTGTGTGTTCAGTCAGATAAAAATGTCAAACTGCCTGTGTGGTCCTTTAGAAATACTGAAGCAGGTTATTTCATGTTGTTGTGGAAAAGCACCCCACCACAGTTGATGTGAGGCTCTGACTTCTCGATTTGTGCTCGTTTTTCACAGTTTAAAACCACGATGTAATAAAAAACACAACGGGAGGACACTTAACGACTGAACTCTGGAATGAGTGAATGGATGCTGATTATTTTTTCCAACACTTGACTTCATTTTCTTAAAACGACTGAAAAAAAAACAATGACAAATATTTCATTTTAATGAAATGTTTGTTCTCATAGTACCTCTCCTGCTGTGAGCATTCCTGCAGAAAAGCCGTCCCCTGCTTCACAGCACATCTGTTTAAAGACATCAGAGGTGTCTCTGCCCTGCAGCCTGCTCGTCTGTGTGGTCTGAGCATGACAATGGTCTTATCTTTACCACCATCCCCACTGCTCCACATCAAACACTCCTGGCTCCACATCACTCCCTTTATTATGGAAGTCATGTTTTATTATTATTCATGCTGTCAGTTTGAAGAATCAGACAGTAAATTAACACCAGGATACCCTGAACTGTGTATGTCAGCTGGTTTATGGAGTGATTAGGCAAGTTAGAGCAAGTTCACCATATGAAAATGTATTTATTCCTCATCTTTATCTGCCGAAGGGCGATAATGTTGTGCATGTCAGAGTCAGAGTCAGAGTCAGAGTTTCTTTATTGTCATTCGCACCTCATGTGGTACATGTGGTGGAGCGAAATTATGTACACGGGGTCCCAGTTACATCCAACAATAAAATGTATAAGAAAAACAGTAATAACATCTAAGATATGAACTAAGAAAAACATCAACTAAATATACACTAAGCACTCATAACATAAAACATTGAACATCAGCACAAACATGAACATGAGTCTGTGAGCAGATGTGCATGCATGAACACATCAACATTGAAACAGATCAGCAGCAACATGAAACAGATCAGCAGCAACATGATATGGTTTTTCACAGTGATTATTCTAGTTAGAGATTCATGAGTCTAACAGCCTCAGGGTAGAAGCTGTTCCTCAGTCTAGTGGTTCTACACTTAATGCTCCTTAACCTCCTTCCTGAGGGGAGTGGGGCAAAAAGTGTGTGTGCTGGGTGGGTGGGGTCCTTCATGATGCAGGTGGCCCTCTTCCTGCATCTGGAGGTGTAGATGTCTGTGATGGTGGGGAGACTGATTCCAACAGATTTCTGTGCAGCCTTCACCACTCTCTGCAAAGCTTTTCTTTCTGCAGCTGTGCAGCCTCCATGCCACACATTGATGCTCGAGCACAGGATGCTCTCCACTGCACACCTGTAGAAGGAGGTGAGGACTGAGCTTCCCAGACCAGCTCGCCTCAGCCGTCTGAGGAAGTAGAGTCTCTGATGAGCTTTCTTGATCAGGCTGGTGGTGTTGTTGCTCCAGCTGAGGTTGTCATTCATGTGTACACCCAAGTACTTGTAGCTGGAGACCACTTCCACCGCAGATCCTCTTATGTTCAGGGGGGTGTAGGTGTTTTTGTTCCTTCTGAAGTCCACAATCATCTCCTTTGTCTTCTTCACATTGATGTGAAGGTTATTCTCTCTGCACCAGCTCTCCAGGTGTTCCACCTCTTGCCTGTAGCTGGACTCATCATTGTTTGTGATGCATCCCACCACCGCTGTATCATCTGCAAACTTTACAATGTGACAGCCTGGATGGGTAGCTGCACAATCATATGTGAGCAGAGTAAACAGAAGGGGGCTCAACACACATCCCTGAGGAGAGCCAGTGCTGAGGGTTATGGTGGAGGAGGAGAGGTTGTGGATCCTCACTAACTGTGGTCTGTTTGTTAAAAAGTCTAGTACCCAGTTGCAGATGGAGGGGCTTAGTCCTAGTGTGGATAGTTTGTCCATCAGGGTTTGGGGGATCATGGTGTTGAAGGCGGATGTGAAGTCCACAAAGAGCATACGGACGTAAGAGTTTTTCTGCTCCAGGTGGTTGAGTGCAGTGTGGACCACAGAGGAGATTGCATCCTCTGTTGATCGGTTCTCACGGTATGCGTACTGATGAGGGTCCTCGTTGATGTTGATGGTTGTTTTGATGTGAGTCATGACAAGTTTTTCGAAGCATTTAGCGACTATCGGGTGAGGGCCACTGGCCGATAGTCATTCAGACCAGTCACTGTAGAGCTTTTTGGGACTGGGATGATGGTGGCAGTCTTCAGGCAGGTGGGAACTGTCTCCAGGGTAAGTGAGGTGTTAAAGATGTCTGCCAGCACCTCACAGAGCTGATCAGCACATTCCTTCAACACTTTTCCGGGGATGTTGTCTGGGCCAGTTGCCTTGTGCGGATTAATCCTCCTGAAGGTACTCCTTACTTCTGCTGAGGTCACGCTGAGATGCTCTTCATCCGGTGGCGAGGTGAGTCTGGTGCTGGGTGGTCTGTTCGGGTCTTCAAAGTGTGCATAGAACTTGTTGAGGGCATCAGGCAGAGATGGGTCTTTGGGGCATTGTTCACTCCTTCCTTTATAATCTGTTATGCACTTAATGCTCCACCACATGCTCCGAGGGTCTTGTGAGATGAATTGACCCTCGATCCTCTTTGCATATGTGCCCTTGGCCCTCTTAATACCAGCAACCAGCTCTTTTCTTGTCCTACTCAGCTCCTCTGAGTTTCCAGACCTGAAGGCAGTGTCCCTGGCTTCCAGCAGGGTACGCACCTCTGCATTCAGCCAAGGTTTTCTGTTTGGGTAGCTTTTAACATTTCTGATAGTGGAGACGGTGTCAGTACATGTACTAATGTAACCCAGTACTGAGGATGTGTATTGGTCAAGATCAAGCGAACCTCCATTTTCAGCAGCTTCTCTGAAAACCTGCCAGTCTGTTCGGTCAAAACAATCTCTCAGTATGGGGCCACTGTCCTGGATCCAGCATTTAACTTTCTTTTGTACCGGTCTGGAGCGTCTCAGCGGGGGCATGTAAGCAGGAGCCAGGAAGATTGAGATGTGGTCTGACAGTCCTAGGTGGGGGCGGGGTTCGGCTTTGTATGCATCTTTTACGTTCATGTAAACACGGTCCAGCGTGCGGTCTCCACGTTTTGGAATCGTCACATGCTGATTAAAGCTTGGGAGACAGTCCTTTAGATTCACGTGGTTAAAGTCTCCGGCTACCACGTAAAGAGCCTCGGGGTGTTTGCTCTGCAGCGAGCTGATGATATCATGAAGCTCCTGTAGTGATTCATTAGCATTAGCGTCCGGAGGAATGTAAACGACTGTGATAAAAGTCACTGTGAACTCTCGGGGTAGATAATGTGGCCGACATTTCACTGTTATTTGCTCCAAAGCCTTCGAGCATGAGCTATTTACAACAGTACAGTTCGTGGACCAACTCTTACTCACGTAAATGCATACTCCGCCCCCCCGTGATTTCCCCGTTAGCTCGCTGCAGCAGTCCGCTCGAAAAAAAAGAGTGTCATCCAGCTGGAAGACTGAGTCCGGCGTTTCACTTGTAATCCACGTTTCTGTGAGGCAAAGCACCGCACACTTCTTCATCTCTTCTGAGGCGCCCGCTCTCAGACGAAGTAAATCCATCTTGTTGTCCAACGAGCGGACATTCGACAGAAAGAGAGATGGCATGGGGAGTTTACCGGCTTTAGCGTTAGCTCGTAGCCTCACCATAACCCCCGCCCGGCATCCTCTCCTCTTAAGCCGGGAGCAGCGCTTCCTCTTCTGCCCGCTGGAACGCCTCTGCTGCAGCTTCCAGGTAGATGACTTTAAGATCTGCATTCTGCCGAGCGTAGCTTTGAGTTTTTTGCTGATTTCTGCTATATTTCGTGGCAAATCCGCTCCTATTCTCATCAGTTCGGTTCGGCTATAGTTCACACGCATAAATCGCGCAGAGTCAGGCACAGAGTCAATATCAAAACTTCTAAAAACTGGGATGGTACCGGGAGCCTGTGAAGCTGCAACTGCTCTGAGCGCGGCCATCTTGGTTACATGTGTGCATGTTCATGTGTTAAAATAGCTCATGAACCACTGATTTTTATTTTTATTTTATTTTTATTTTTCTATACAATCTCAGATCTATAATGACTGGATGTAAAATTAAATATACAAAATGCTGCTGCCAGAGTCTTAATGGGAGTTGATAGGAGAGATCATCTCTCCAGTTTTAGCTTCTCTCAATGACTCCCTGTCAAATTCAGAATTGAGTTCAAAATCTTAAGATAAGATAAGACAGAACTTTATTGATCCCACAGGAAATTGTTCCAGAGTTTCAGTACAAAGGAACATACACAAGGAATCACACAAGAAATGAAAAATAACAGAGAATATAAAAATACCAGCAATTAAGTTCTAAAACAGGTCAGGTGCAGACAGAAACATTAAAGTGTTTATTGTGGTGTAGGATTTATTTTATTGTTCTATATATAGAAAAGGGGGAGGAGTTGAAAAATTTGATAGCCACAAGGAGGAAGAACTTCCTGTGGCGTTCTGTGGAGCACCTCGGTGATCTCAGTCTATTACTGAAGGTGCTGCGGTAAGAGTCCAGTGTGGCATGCATTCTAACCTACAAAGCTCTCAACAACCTAGATCCATCTTATATTACAGATTTTATTGTTCCATGTTTTCCTAACAGAGCACTTCGCTCTCAGGCTGCAGGTTTACCTGTGGTTCCTACAGTTTCCAAAAGCAGAATTGAATGAAAATCGTTCAGTTATCAGGCTCCTCTCTTGTAGGACCAACTTCCAGTTTCTGTCTGTGAGGCTGACACATT